TGGCTGCTGGGGTTCAGACATAGACCTCTGTGTGGTCATGTCTTCCATCTCTTTGCTCTTGTAGTGAATGAGGGCATGTAGTCACTCAGAGTCAGTGTTCTCTGTACATTGACTGCCAGGAAAGTGCAGCGTCCTAGACAGTGTGACCTTGAGATGGTTCCCTCCCTGGTGAGGTAGGTGAGGGTGAAGACCAAATGAAGCAGTTTGGTTTGGGCCCTAGCATACCTCCTGGCCACACAGCAGGGACAGTAGGCCATTATGAGCTTCCCCTAGGCTTGGACACCCCCCTACACACACATGTATTGATACTTGGCCTTTTTAGCAGCCATTGAATTCAGCGCCTGCCAACTTCCTACAGAGGAAGGGGTAACTGGGGCCTGCTGATGGATGAACACAGCTCTTGAGACTGAAGAGGAGCCCCACCAGCAGGCTTTGTGCCTTCTGGTTCCCATTTTCAGCTGGGGTCAGCTCTCTCCAGACGGAGGAGAAAAGTGGAGGTGGAAACATGTGGGAGATGTACTGAGCTGGGCCCTGTTTTTCTAGGCTTGGGCTCGGAACTCTCTTCAGAAACCCTTCACCTTGGATAATTCCCCAGACCTGACCACCCATCTGTCAGGACCTTCCTTGCTGGCAGGGACCTATGGAGGGTCAGATAGGCCAGGCTCTGCCACACACAGCATCTCCTGAGGCCAGGCCTAGACTTAAGACTGCCACAGCTACTAACTGGAACCTGTCCCTTAGAGCAGCCTCTGAGTTAGAGATGACAGTCCCTGTTCTCTAGGGGAAATCCTCAGGGGCTCATAGAATTGGTCACTTGCCCAAGAACACAGAACTTATAAATGGCCAGGTCAGCCAGGACTGATTGCCATGCTCTGGAGCTGTACCCTCAATGGTCCCACCCACATAGGTTCCCTAGGGCTTGCACAGGGGCACACTGCATCTGCTCTACCTCCTATCACTCATTGGACCCCCAAGGCAGGGAAAGGAAGTGTGCCTGAGATAGTTTGAACACAAACAAGCCAGGGTAGCCCATGGGGGCAGACCCTGTGACCTAGGACAGGAGCTCTGGGCTTCTTATTAGGATTGCCTCTGTGTCCCCAGGGACTGAGCCTTGAGAAGTGAAATTGGGACAGATCCTTGTTGCCTGCTGAGGACACTGCCCTCCTGAAACTCCCTAAAGACCAGACATAGCTTTTCTGTACAGACTCTAAGGAGGCCTCAATAAGCTCCAGGCTTAGACCTGTACTGGGTGCCAGGCCACAACATGACTGGATGCTCTTGTGTATGTATTTTCTATGCACTGGGGAACATGGCAGGAAAGAACAACTCTGAATGGTAGAGAGATAGGCATTCTCTTGGGCCTGCTCCCTGGAAACTCAACTTTTTGAGACACACATTTCCTGCTGTCTGATCTTTCCAACTGTATTTAGTCACTTTTCTGTTATTGTGATAGAAACACCATGACCAAGGGAACTTATAAAAGGAAGAGTTTATTTAGTTTACGGTTCCAAGGGGACAAGAGTCCATCATGGCGGGGAGTCGTGGCAGCAAAGGTAGCTGGAGTAGGAACAGAAGCTATGCTCTCACATCTTCAAGCAGGCATAGGACGCAGAGCTTGACTAGAGATCTGTAAACCTACCCCCAGTGATGTACTTTCTCTAACATGACCACATCTTCTAAAACCTCCCATAACAACACGACCAACTGGGGACAAAATGTCCAAATACTTGGAGCCTATGGGGAACATTTGCATTCAAACCACCACACCAACCCTCCAGGAAGGCCTTGGACCTGGGAACTGTGAGAACCACAGGGTGTAGGTAGACCAGTGGGCTGCTTTCTGGCTCTCCAGCCAGCATTATGTTGCAGTGGACAATGGCAGTGTTGTCCTCTGTTCAACACCTGTAGCTCTTGTAAAGAGATACCCTGACAGAAATCAGCTTTGTGTTTGTCCAGGATTGAGGCTGGCATCTTGCATCAGCCTGAGTGGAATTTGCACAGCCATCCCCAGGCAATTTCATCTTTGGCTCCTGGGCAGTCCCCAAGGCTCTCCTGTGCACCCAGCAAGGCAGCTTCTGCCCAGAGCCACACAGAACAGGTGCCCCCTGTGACCCTGACCTGGGTAGAGATGACCAGTGGGTAACTCAGAGCTTTTGGAAGCCCACATCCCCATGCCCTCTAGAACTCTGTGAGGGTGATTTTGTTACTGAAGAGTTCTTCCCTTTCCTCTGCAACTTTAAAAACCATAAAGGTGTTGCTAGCCCAGAGGGGGTTTTAGTGTGACTGGAGTTAGTTCCCCCTGCCTAAGAGGAGGGGCACAGGTTGAGGCTCAGCTGTCTTCCTGTACCTCTCAGTGCTGACTACCCTCTTGGCCTCTCTTTCTGAGGTATTCTGGGTCAGAGCTGTTGACCTAGCACTCCCCTTACCTTCCTCAGAGGTCTGGGGCATGAGAGCTGACCTGCAGAGAGGAGCAGAGTGAGGAGAGCTGCTTAGTTCAGGGTTTGCCAAACCAAAGGTTCGTAGAACAGGTGTGGACCAGTACCATCTTGTTCATTTACTTTTCTTATGCTGTCTTTATACTATTTTAATTTAGGAGGGAAGCTACTAGAATTGGTTTTGCAGTTATAATTAAAATTTCCACTTGCCTTGGGCAAACAATTATGGGTTGAATGAAAAGGTGTTAATACAGGGAAAAGTTAATTTTAAGAAAAAAGTCTGTTAAGAACCACTGTGTGGGCATGCACCTGTGGACACACAGCCAGGGGGTGGATGAGAGCTCCAGATCTGTCATGTCTGAGCCTGGCTTTAGGCCTATGCAGGGCCCTCTGTGAACTGGGCAGTTCCAACAGCCACCTGCCTCCTCATCTTCCCCAGGCATTAGATGAGACAGGAATGGGCGTCTGTGCCCTGACACCTCACAGCACTCACAGGGCTGTTGTGAGAGATGGACAGAGGGCACTTGGTGACAGGTGAAGGGCAGGCAGGTGTGGACTCTGCTCAAAGGTCCAAAGATCTGCCTAGGAGGAAGAAGGTTGTGTTGGGGTGAGAGGAACATTTGGGGCTTTGTTGTGCCTTTCCTGTGGCTGAGATAGTCCCCTTGAGGCCACTTTTTCCATCTTGTCAGGAGCTTGGATAGCTTCCAACAGCCTCAGAATGCTGCTGAGGGACACTTGTTGAGGGACTGGGTGAGCACCTACCTATGTGCTGTGAGCTGGTGTTTCAGTGGAGCTGCCTCTCAGGCAAGGCCTATCACATGCTTAAAAAGTAGGGAAAAGAGGCATAGTGAACTGTGGTGAAGGCCAGCAGCAGCTCCTGCCTACAGGGTGACAAGCTTTCCGGCAATCTGACAGTAACATTCCCAGCAGCTGGTCACTCCTCTGCCTGCCTGGTTAGGTGAAATTTGCAGGTCTTCATGGCGCAGAACAACACAGAGCACTCACACTGCTTCACTGGGAGCCCTGGCTCTCCTTGAGGGTTGGGCTACCTCCTCCCCCTTTCCCCTGGGTGTCCTAGTGCTAGCCTAGCCTAGTGCTAGTCTCCTGTGGGCGTGGCAGTGGCACACGTGGAATGCTGCATTAGGCGGAGTACCCGTGCATCATAACTAGCATCCAGTCCCTAGAGAGTGACTCACCTCCTTGTCAACACTGCAGTTTGGAAACCAGTGAAGTGTGGGGGCAGCAGTGACAAAGGGAACTATGTGTACAGCATCCAGAAGCAGGCAGGTCCCTCTGCTGAGCCTTTTGAGCAGAGGACTCCCCAATTTCCCCATAAATAAAATTGGAATAAAAATAGCTATCTTGGAAAGTTGTCCTAAAACACAAGTGAGATATCGTGAGCTCTCATTGTGGTCTCTGGAATGCTATGGGCCCCTTGACTACACTGGTTTCCTTTTGTTTCAAGGTGAGCTTTGCACTTACTGAGAGTATGAGGTCTGATGAGTGGGATTGGATTAGTGACATGTAGGTGTGGACATGTAGGGGTGCCTGGTGCAACTTCATTAGTCTGTCTGGTTGGTGTTCAACTGAGTCATGGCACAGGCAGGTACCAAGTTTGTTAATCACCCTCTCTTCATATCCCTAGGGTCTCCCTGGAGGATAGACTCAGCCTGTCTCCAAGTAGCTTCCTCAGGTGTCCTGGAACCTGTTCCTGTGGACACTTTCCAAGGCTTTCAGTGCCCTGCTTCAGCACCCCTGGTGGTCTGGGGATAAGAGGGAAGCACCTTTAGCAGAGCTTGCAGCCATCCCTAGATACAGAACATGCTACAGAACAGGTAGAAGCAGAGCAGCCTAGGAGAGGAGTACCTGCCTCAGAAGTAAAGTGCCCCAAGAAATGGTTCTAGGAAGAGGCTGCCCACTAAATGACAGCAAACTAAGCTGAGCCAGAGCTCTTCTATAAGATTACTTCAGCAAGAGGTTCCTTCTCTTCTTCCTCCTCTTCTCCCTCTTTTCTTTTTCCTTTTCCTCCTTTTTTTTTCTGAGACAGAATCTCACTGTGTACACCTGGCTGGCCTGGAACTCACTATGTAGACTAGGCTGGCCTCAGTCTTGTAGCAGTCCTTTACCCTGCCTCTAGAGTGCTGAGGTCCTGTGGTATGCCAGAAGCTGGCAGGAAACATTTCATTCAGTGATTATAAAACTCCTGTAAGAGTCTGTTGCCATTCTTGCTTTACAGGAAGAGGGAGCTGAGGTTCTGTGACACGCGCGGAGTCATGGAGGGTACACCCCAACTGTGTAGACTTCCTGCATCTGTTTGTCTCAGCTTCCTCACATGAGGTCATGATTGTTCCTGATGGCTGACCAGAAACTACAAGCCCCTCACTGGATTCTCATAAGTCAGCCAGCCACCCTGAGAGGCCCCTCAAGACTAGGAATCCCCAGCCAGCCATTCTCATACCTAGAGCGTTTCCTGAATCCCAGTCCCTGCAGATGTCCTTATAGTTTGACGAGTAGCACTGAGTTCCTGGAAGTCAACCTCACTCATTCTGTCTCTGTCTTTCCCAGGGTAGCGACATCTCTGACTCTACCTTTGCTGATGGCGCACTCCTCTCCAGGGAGCCCAGTTTCTTTCCTGAGGATGAGGAGGAAGCTATGACAGTGGCTCTACCCGAGGGCCCTCAGGAGTCAGACATGGACAGCCCCATGGAGAGCAGCCAGGGCCTGGAGGGCTGTGTTGGGAGTCCTGGCGAGGAGAAGGAACACGGGCTGGGAGGCCTGTTTCTGCCAGAGGACAAGTGAGTGAGCAGTGTTTGGTATGTGGTCTCAAAGCCAGAAGGGCAACTCCTGGAAACTGTCTCCAGGAATTATACAGGAGATGGCAGGATTATAGCTACAGACACTACTTGAACAGTGGGGATAGTTCTGGAATTTCAGGCCATTATGTAAACTTTTTTTAAATGTTTATTTTTATTTTGTGTGTATGAGTGTTTCTCCTGCATATATGTGTACCACATGCATGCAGGTACCTGAGGAGTCCAGAAGAAAGTTTTGGATCCACCCCCAATTTTATGTGCATGAGTGTTTTGCCTACATGTATGTAAGTGCACCCATGTCATGCAATGCCTGCAGAGGCCAGAAGAGGGCCCCTGGAACTGGAGTTACAGACCGTTGTTAACCACCATGTGGGTGCTGGGAATTGAACCCCAGTCCTCTGCAAGAGCAGCTAGTGCTCTTAATCCCTGAGCCATCTCTCCGGCCCTTTTTTTTATTTGTTTGTTTGCAGCCCTGACTTGCTTGCAGGCTAGTCTTAAACTTATAGAAAGCACGTGCCTCTGCCTCCTAAGTACCAGGATTAAAGGTGTCTGCCTGACCTCAGTTAGTTTTAAAAAGTATGTTATAGGGCCAGGGATGTAGCTTGGTGGTAGATTTCTTAGTACTAGAAAAAGAAAAAAAAAAAGAATAAGAAAACCTGATTGTAGGGGCTGGAGAGATAGCTCAGCAGTTAAGAGCACTGACTGTTCTTGTAGAGGACCTGGGCTCGATTCTCAGCACCCATGTGGTGGCTACGAACCATCCTTGACTCCAGTTCCAGGGGAGTCTGAAGCTCTCTTCTGACCTCTGAGGCATTGCACAACACAGGTGCACTCACATACATGCAGGCAATACACTCATACACATAAAATAAAAATAATAAAATTTTTAAAAAATATTTAATAAGCCGGGTATGGTGGCACACGCCTTTAATCCCAGCACTTGAGAGGCAGAGGCAGGTGGATCTCTGTGAGTTCAAGGCCAGCCTGGTCTACATAGTGAGTTCCAGGACAGCTGGGGCTACAGGGAGACCCTGCCTCAAAAAAAAAAAAAAGAATTTAATAAAAAAAAGAAAAACTGATTATAAAGATGAAAGATGTCAGGGAACTAGGATCTTAGGAAATGCCTGGGAAAATGATCTTAAATGTTGATTTCTGGAAGGTGGGGTGATTTATCATTTAAATTACTTCTTATCTATTCTACTCTGTACAGTCTATATTTTCAATATTAATGGTATGCTTTCATCAGGAATTTTTTTGGTCTTTCTGAAACAGGGTCTCCCTGCAGCCCAGCTAGCCTGGAAATCACTATGTAGACCAGGTTGGCCTTGAACTCACAGAGATCCTCCTGCCTCTGCCTCCAGAGTGCTGTGGTTAAAGATGTGCACTACCACACCCAGCTTTGAATAGACCTCTTCTATATTCAGCTTTTAAAAGATCCCAGACCAGGCACACATCTTTAATCCCAGCACTGAGGAGGCAGAAGCAGGTAGATCTTTGAATTTGAGGCAGCCTAGTCTATATAGCAAGTTCCAGGTCAGCCAGGGCTTCATAGCAAGACCCTGTCTCTCAACTAATTAATTTTATTAAAGTCTTAAGTTTGTACCTAACTTTTTGTTGATAGCCATTTCCCTGCCTTGTTGCCAGTATTGTATAAGCTTTTGAACAATCATTTGGTATTCTATAATTTAATAACTTGATTCACTGATAAATGTTCTAATTCAATAACTATAATTATAGTGTAATTTAACCTAGCTTACTGTTAAGTAACTGGTAATCAATGTTTTGCTGCTTGGGAATGGCACAATTTGCCTGTCTGTTATGGAGGAAGATGCTTCCCTTAGAAGAGGTCCCCAAAGTCACAAGGTACAAACTTGGCCAGGATCTTCCTGTCTGTAGGACTGGACTGGTTTCCCCCACAGAAGCTGCAGGTAGGGCCCTCAGCCTTTAACTAACTGGGTGCTTACGGCCCTCAGGTCCCTGGTCCTCACTCCATCCATGACCACGTCAGACCTTTCCACTCATTCCACTACCTCTCTCATCAGCAACGAGGAGCAGTTTGAAGACTATGGAGAGGGAGATGATGTGGACTGTGCCCCTGGCAGCCCCTGCCCTGACGATGAGTCCAGAACCAACGTCTACTCAGACCTAGGATCTTCAGTGTCTTCCAGGTGGCCCCTGGCTCTGGGGTGACAGTTGGAGTCCAGAAAAAATGGCAGTGCCAATCTAGCCTCATTCCAGCGAGTCTGACAAAGTCCTAAGCTAAACATCTTTCCCTCTGTCCAGGGCTTCATGGCTCTATGCCTAGGGTGTGAGAGTGCTGCCTTTGCACCCTGATTGGGTATCACATCCCTCCTTTCTCTTTCCATCTTATAAAAGATAGAGTTAACTGATCTAGGAGTTTGCCATACCCCAGTGGGATGTGTCTATGTCATCTTGTTCCCTAGAACCTCAGTGTCACAGGATCCTTCCAGTGGCCTTCTACGGTCACTGGCAGGCACCTGCCTGAATCATTACTTCCTTCTTCCTGTAACATTAGCTCTTAGTTTGCTTTCTCTGTTAAGTGGGTACATTTCCCCAGCTTCCTCTCTGGCGGCCATGCATTCTGGCGGCATGGTTTTTGCTTTGATTTTACTCCTCCCACTAAAGTTCACAGGCCTTAGGGAACCAAGTAGAGCCAACTCAGGGTGGGCAGGGCACAACCTAACAGCAGCATAGAGAGTGACTCCCTTCCCTCCCATTGGCCCAGTGCCGGGCAGACCCCAAGGAAGATGCGGCATGCATACAACAGTGAACTGCTAGATGTGTACTGCTCTCAGTGCTGCAAGAAAATCAACCTGCTGAATGACTTAGAGGCCCGGCTGAAAAACCTGAAGGCCAACAGGTGAGGCTATAGCCCTGAGGAACAGGGCCAGCTGGGGTTAGCAAGGGTTGGCAGGGCAGCCCCAGTGTGGGCAGGAACAGTCTGTCATACCTTAGCGTTTTGCAGTGGACGGAGTATGGCAGTGGATTAGGGCCCCTCTGATCAGTGACTATGCCCTCTCTCTCTGTAGCCCCAACCGGAAGATTTCAAGCACAGCCTTTGGACGGTAAGACTTTGGGAGACAGTGGGTCGAGTGCTGTCTACTTTGACTTGCTTCTCCTGCCTGAGCTCCATGGCAGCAGCCCAGACTTAGCATGTGGCCAAGTGAGCAGAGCGCTGTAAGGCCATCCCTAGTTGGGTGGCAGGAACAGAGCAGAAGAGCAGGCAGCCCCACTCCTACCCTTACAAACCCTGGCCCCTCTCAGCAAGGTCACTGCTTCCATGTTGGTTGAGAACCATAAGGAGGCCATGGCTCTTGGTGCCTCCCTTCTATTCAGGACCCAGGCTAGAGGAGTGACATAGAAGCCCCTCCACAGTCCTCAGAGCAAAGTGTGAAGGTCAGGTGGAGTGCTCCTCCTGTGACCAGTTGAGGGTAGCCTCCTCGGTGGGCTTCCTGGCAGCCCTTGTGTACTGGACCCTTGGCCAGGCTGTGACAGCCTTGGTAGAGGTGCCCTCCCCTACTGCAGGCAACTCATGCACAACAGTAACTTCAGCAGCAGTAATGGCAGCACTGAGGACCTGTTCCGAGACAGCATTGACTCTTGTGACAACGACATCACAGAGAAGGTGGGCCCTGGGACAGGAGTGAAAAAAGGGACTCTGCATGTACCTGGGATAGTGGCGGGGGTGCTCCAGGCTGCAGGCTGCTCTCTGGGGACTCGGTGACCCTGTACCTGCCCAGGAATCTCCCTTTCCAAGCATGACTGTTCTTTTTATGCACGGTCACTTGGAGATCTTGGTCATAAACTTATCTGATTCTCAGTCTTGTGGGTTCAAAGGCCTTTTCTACCCTGCTTCACCCCCATGCTGCAGGTGAGCTTCCTGGAAAAAAAAGTCACAGAGCTGGAGAATGACAGCATGACCAGTGGGGACCTGAAGAGCAAGCTGAAGCAGGAGAATATGCAGCTGGTGCACAGGTCCCGTGTGGGTTGGCTCTGTGGTGGGTAGAGTCGAACCCTATTGCCAGAGAAGTCCTAGTCCTTCCAGCTCTGAGGAGCTTGGCCTTGATTCCAGATGAGATAGATAGTACCCTGGATGTGCCACCCCAGGACCAGTGATCTCACTGTATATGGTGACCAGAGCCAGATTTTCCTTTCTTGGGGACATGCTGCAGAGTGTGGGGCAGTGGAGAATAGAAGACAGGAGGGTCCACGTGCTATGTGGGAAAGGCAGTCGGGGACACTGGGCAGGATACTCCCCAATGCTGGCTGTCCAGGACGTGATAGGTGTTAGATTTCATTGGCCTCCAGAGATGCAGGAAACTCAGTAGGCCTCTCTCTGTGCCTGGGTCTGGTCCTCCACCTTGGTGCGGGGTGGGGGTGTCCCAGGATAGACCACTTTGTATGCCACAGGTCAGCCTGAGGATGGACAGACAGTGAACTATTGTTGGACAGGTATAGGCCTTTGGTAGTGGGGTATGTAATAAATCCACAGGGGCCTGACCCTAGATTGCTTATGGCCATTAATTGGAGGGATTCTGGGCAGGTAGGCAGAGCAGAAAGAGGGGAAAGACCAACATGATTTTCGTCTAGCTGTCGCCAGGCCCATCATCCTCAGTGTCTCCTATGCAGCCTCACTCCTCTATGGACCTTCTTCACCAGATCTGTTTCTCCCTGACATACTTGTTAGCTGTCATAATGTCCCTAATTCACCTGTCAGCCAAGCTCCTGGCAAACCCTCCCCCACCCCCTCAGTGAGTGGACTCTGTGGGGTCCAGGTCTCTTTGGTTAGGGTAAGAGTGCATAGGCCATGAGAGCTTGCCTTGATTGAGGTTTTTGGTGCCCTGCCTTAGGGTGCACGAGCTGGAAGAGATGGTGAAGGATCAGGAAACCACGGCGGAGCAGGCACTGGAGGAGGAGGCCCGGCGACACCGGGAGGTCTACAGCAAGCTGGAGCGGGAGAAGAACACCGAGCTGGAACTACTCAACACCAGGTGGGCACCTAGGTCTTCTGCCTGTGCTCCTCCATGCCCTTCTGTGCCCCTCCATACCCCCTCTGCCCTGGCAGCCCTGGGCAGGTGCCAGCCCCAGGTATTTTTGGTAAAGCCTGAGCCTCCCATTCTAACATTTCTTTTTTTAGAAAAAAAATTATTTTATGTGTATGAGTGTATTGCCTGCATGTAAGTGCACCTGTGTCGTGCAATGTCTGTGGAGGTCAGAAGAAGGTGTCAGATTCTCCTGGAACTGGAATTATAGATTGTTATTTGCTGCCATGTGGGTGCTAGGAATCGAACCCAGGACCTCTGTAAGAACAGCCAGTGCTCTTAACCACTGAGTCATCCCTCCAAACCTCCCTCCCCACATTCTAACATTTCTTCTTCTAATGCCTTAGCCATGTTCTTCAGGGAGCAGGCAAAAGAATGTTCACAGTAGCTCCTTTCTCATTAGGCAGAGAAAACAACCGGATGTCTTATAAGTGAGGGGTTTTAGAGGCAGGGTCTGATATCCAAGCTTGGAGCTCCCCCTGCTGTCGGATCCTCCCCTGAATTTGAACATGGCTGAGTTGAACCAAGAGCCCTGGACTTAGGGAAATAGAAAATCAAGTCCCCAGGCTTTGTGGGCTTCTATTTCTTGGCGGTATGGGTGGCTTCCTTGCTGGAACCCAAGCCAGGGGCATGAGGAGCAACACCGGCTAGTCACCATTGGCTTTGTCACTTACTATGTAATCTTCTCTCTTCTGTCCTCTGCCTGTCTCCCCCCACGGAGCTTGTGCACAGGGCATACTGTGATGAGGCTGTGATGCTGTGACAGAGCAGGCACTTTCCTGATACTCCTGGGGCCCCAAACATCTCAGCTAAGCCCAGCTTGGGCAGGGGAGGGATTGCTGAGGAAGGGCTGGGCTAGGCAGGGAATGGGTGACTGTTACCTCAATGCAGTTTGATAAAGAGACCTCCAGGCTGTCCAGTGCCTGAAACGTACTGTCCCTGTCTTGTCCCACATCCCCACTCACCATTTGTCACAGGGATGCATGTTAAATTTGAACTGGTGCTCTGGAGGTTCCTATTTGTATATGGCTCTAGGGCTGGTGTCTTCTTACAGAGGATTGCTTACTCTACCTCTTTGACAACTCCCAAGAGAGGTGGCTGGGACCAGAGAGGTAGAGGAAGGAAAGACGGTATGAGCAGGGTCTGAGGCAGCAACACAAAAAGCCAGGTTCTGGGAGTAAGCTCCTAACTACTGCCCTTCACAACTCCAGGAGGCGCTGTGCATGGAGGAGGCCTGGATGGTGCTCCCAGTCATCAGCATACTTCCTTCCTCAACTCCTCTTCCAGTTCCAGGCCACAAATTTCTCTCTGGCTTTTGTCTGGGGACCTTTTTAGGGTGCCCCAGGACAGCAGCAAGGCCAAGAATCCTCCCTCCAGCATGGTGCAGTGGCCTGGGATGAGGGTGCTGCAAAATTCAGTGCCCAGACATAGTTGTGCACAGTTCCCACAGCCTATCTCCCCCACCTATAAAACCACCTGAGTGCTGGCCTATGGCCCCCTCTGGATCACTGGGGGGCAGCTCTCTGTAAACACTCCATAGAGGAATATTGCCTTGAGTACTACAGTGAACACTCAGAGAGGCATCCTGGACAAGGGCGGGGGATAAAGAAGAGAAATGAATGCAGTCATAGCTGCAGATCCATCATTGGAGCCTCAGTCACACCAGCCACAGAGGACCACTGCTCTTGCTTCCTTGTTTCATGAAGAGTCCATGCAAAGAGTCTAAAGTTCTTTTTATGTGTGCACGTGTGTGAAGGTCAGATTTCAGAATTTTTTAGATTTTGGGAAATATGTTTAACATACACATGTCTTGGGGATAGGACTCTAAACATGAAATGCGTTTGTTTCAAAACTAGCTTGTAGGGCTGGGAAGATGACTCAGTGGGTAAACAGCTTGCCACACAAGCATGAGGACCTGAGTTAGAATCCCCAGAACCCATGTAAAACCAGACGAAGTGGTGTGCTTCTATAGTCCCAGTGTTCCTGTGTCAAGAAGAGAGGCAGACATAGGAGAATCCTGCAAGGTTGAGAGGCATCTAGCCTGGCAAAAATAGTAAGAGATCCTGTCTTGGGGTGGAAGGACAGGATCAGCAAACATCCAAGATTGTCCTCTGACCTTCACATCTGCACCGTGGTACTTGTACACCTGCACACACATCATACATACAAAAAAAAGTTTAAATATCCTATAGCTTGAAGGCAATTTTGTATATTTTAATTTTGCACACAAAACAGTTTCATGATAATACGGGATTTTGGTTTGTGGCAGCATGTCATTACTTAAAAAATGTTGGATTTTGGAACATTTGGTTTTTTGGATTAGGAATGCTCAGCCCATTTTCATTCTTGTCTCTAATCTCTTGTATTTTCTTTCTTCTGGGAAGCAGAGGGTCACTGTAGGTTACTATTCTCTGTAAAGTGATTTTCAATCCACATTCCTCAAGTCTCCATCCTCTTTCCTTCCCCAGGGTGCAGCAGTTAGAAGAAGAAAACACTGATCTGAGAACAACAGTGACTCGGCTCAAGTCACAAACAGAGAAGCTGGATGAGGTGAGCAGCCCTTCAAGGAGCCAAGTGTAGAGGTGATGATGGTCACCAGGCTTTTAGCTTGTACTTTCTGGAATTTTAAAGATTTCCCTACTGAAAAAAGAAAAAGTACTGGGATATGGTAGCACACGCCTGTAATCCTGGCACTCAGAGGTGGAAGCAGATGGATCAAGAGTTCAAAGTCAACTTCCGCTGCATAGTGAGATCAAGGCCAAGCTGGATATATAACACTTTGTCTTAAAAGCAAACAAAAATATTTTTTATTAATAAAAAAGGAAAAAATTGTGAATGTCTTTTGTTTCTGAATTTCCCAGTTTTCTATGGTGAAAACATAATATACAGTATGTATTTCTTATATTATGGGATTCTTAGAGGACAAGGTTAGTATCTGTTTGGGCTAACAGCTTCTGCCTGACACCACTGAAGGGCCTCGGCGATCTGAGGTGTTCCCTGCTGTGGTTCTAGAATGATTTGGGATCTGGCTGTTTGTTTAAGCCCTATCTCAAGAGGACTCTGCCCTGGAGTGGGGCGGGGGGGACTGGTCTGCCTGCCCATTTGCCATACAAAGGTCCTCTTAGAGTATGAGACCCCTTCCTCAAAAAGCTTGCCCTGACCCGGTCTGCCTGGCTCCAGGAGCGGCAACGCATGTCTGACAGGCTGGAGGACACTAGTCTGCGGCTCAAGGATGAGATGGATCTGTATAAGCGCATGATGGACAAGCTGCGACAGAACCGCCTTGAGTTCCAGAAGGAACGGGAGGCAACGCAGGAGGTAGGTTTCTACCCAGGGGCCCTAGGGCTTCCCTCAGTGGCCTTGCTGCTGTCAACTGGCCTCTGTTCCTCTACAGCTTATCGAAGACTTGCGGAAGGAGCTGGAGCACCTGCAGATGTATAAGCTGGACTGCGAGCGGCCAGGCAGAGGCCGCAGCGCGTCATCCGGCCTCGGCGAGTTCAATGCCAGAGCCCGTGAGGTAGAACTTGAACATGAGGTCAAGCGTTTAAAGCAGGTAGGCCCCAGAGCCACTGCCCAGTGACTTCGGTGAGGTGGCTGGGTCAACTGTGTGGGCTCCTGGGTAGAGGCCTGCCACCTCCTCTTTGCTCCCCTCAGCAACCTGATCACTAGGGCTGGCCTTCCCATCTCATGCTCCTTGCTTGGGACAAGCAGCTTTGCTCTGGTTATGTCCAGTGGTTCTTGGGCTCTTTCCTTTGTGTCCATAAAGAGAAAGAGGCCCCTGTCCTGTCCCAAGTGTTTAGGGTGAGGGTACCATTCCTAGCTACAGACACACTGGTTGGTTTGGGTCCTCTGGGGAAAGGGCCCTGAGTCTGAGAGTCTACTTCCCATCGTTCCCCATAGCTCCCTTTGTTGGAGACCAGCCTGGGTTGGGCATGGGATCTGGAAGGGGTGGTAGCCTAGGAAGGGAGTGATACCTCAGCTCAGGCCACACCAGAGTTCATTCACCCAGGCAGAAGTCTTGGTAGCCATCTCCTGCAGTGGTTCTAAGCCAGCTCTTCCACGTACCCAGGAAGAGTTCCCAGGTCCCTGGGGTGAGCCATAGGCACTAGTAGGCGAGAACTGGAGGGGGAGCTATAGTGTCAACTATCTTCCTGGGCCAGGAGGGTACTTGAAACAGCTCCTACTGAGCAAGTTCCAGAACCTGGCTATAGGAGGAGCCAGAAAGTCAGCCCACTTTCTGGAGCCAGAGATTCCAGAACAGCAAACTCAAGGACAGAAGCAGACTGAGCTATCCGTAGGCAGTGCTTTCCATAGGACCCTAGGGAAGAAGGGTGCTTAGCTAGGCCCCATCTGCAAACCTACTTGTTCCAAGCAGGTTGTAACATCCCTTCCAACTAAGGACTGGTATGATACACCCCTGGACCAGGCTGTAGTTTTCCTACCACTAAGGCCCAGCAAATGCCATATCACAGGCCTTCTGACCTGGCAGTGACACGAAGGATGCCCATGGTCATGAGGCAGATGAGGAGAGGGGTTTTCCAGTGGGCTCTGGCTGCTTCCCAGAGTCAGGTTGCCTTTGTTCTGTCTTTGCAGGAGAATCATAAGCTGCGGGATCAGAATGATGACTTGAATGGGCAGATCCTAAGCCTCAGCCTCTATGAAGCAAAGAACCTCTTTGCCACCCAAACCAAAGCCCAGTCTCTGGCTGCAGAAATTGACACAGCATCTCGAGATGAGGTAGCCCTGTCCCCTTGGTCTTGCGCTCTCATATTGGTACCTGGTCTCCATTCTGTGAATCCTACCCCACCCTCCATTTGCTGGGACCCTAAACCCCAGGCTGTATAGGACTCAAAAGGGAGGCTGAGGCCTGGCCCTAATGGTCCCCCACTTACCATTACCACAGTGACAGTAGATCTGAGCAGAAAGGTGGCACAGGGTAGGAGCTCAGCTCTATTTCCTCCTGAAAGGGGTCATGGGCTCAGTCAGGTCATAGTAGAGCTTGAATTGAAGTGCCTCCTGGGGCATTCCCCAGATAGAGACCAGTTTAGGGGTACTCTGCTGCCCAGGCAGAGGACAGGGGGCCAACTGTTTTTTGTTTGTTTGTTTGTTTGTTTGTTTGTTTTTTGAGACAGGGTCTTCCTGTATCCCCAACTGGTCTGAAACTCACTATGTAGACCAGGCTGGCCTGAGATCCACCCGCCTCTGCTTCCCTAGTGCTGGGGTTAAAGGCATGCGCCGCCACAGCCGATAACATTTATTTCTTACGTACCTGTCTTCACTTGGCCTCAGCTCAGAGTTTTAGAAATACTTTCCTATTATACATAGATATCACAAGCTACCCTAACGGCAGAGGGAGAAGGGCCCAACTTCCCAACACTGCAGCCCTCTTTCTACCACAAATACCAAAATACCCCACTGCTTTTTTTATGTGAACCCGAGACCCCATGTCACTTGAGACCCCTTGCCTCTACCTGAGACTGAGCTAAGGGCCGACCTTTGACCTCAAGGAGCTGTAGGGGAGCAGACACCCCTCTAAGGTTGAAGCAGCAGTTCAACTCCACCTAAAGGTCACAGTAAGAATCGCTGGATAAGCCAGGCGTGGTGGCACATGCCTATAGTCCCAACCCTTGGGAGGCAGAGGCATGCGGATCTCTATGAATTCAAGGCCAACCTGGTCTATATAGTGAGCTCCAGGCCAGCTGGGGCTACAGGGAGACCCTGTTTCAAAAAGACTGAAAAAAAAAACCAAAAACAACCAAAAAACCCCAAACAAAAAACCAACAAGGAGTTGCTAGATAAGGCAGGACTGGGGTAAGGAGGGACGATTCCAGGCAGAGGAAAACCTGGCAGCCCTGGGCATCTTCTGGACCCAGGGGACTGTACACGTCAGCCCGGATTATAAGTGCATCCGGCCAGTGTTCCCAGCCTTTATGAAAGTTCCTTACTCTGGACCCCTCCATAGGTCAATGGCATTGCCTTAGACTCTAGCCCCAGCCTCCAAGTGTTCAGACTTGTCTGGGGCCCACTTTGCCCAGGGTCACCTGGGCCTCTGTCATTGGTCACTGGACCAGTCTCTGATCCTCCTTTACCATTCTTTTCAGCTAATGGAAGCTTTAAAGGAGCAAGAGGAAATCAACTTTCGACTGAGGCAGTACATGGACAAGATTATCCTGGCCATCTTGGATCACAACCCCTCCATCCTGGAGATCAAACACTGAGACAGGGCTGACTGCAGAGCAGCCTCAGGATCTGAGACCTAGGGGAGGCCTGCCTGAGGATGAGGATGCAAGCAGGGCCCCATACTCACTCTGTAAATGTACCTTTGATTACCCTGTGTGTGTGCTATGTGCTGGTATATATGTGGGAGACTGCACACACGTGTGAGGGGTGAGCTTGGGGCCATGGCTTGGGTGACAGCCCCACAGTGAGCTGTGCGTGCACTTTGCATCCCCTTTGTGAGGGGCAGAGGGGACTGGATGTAGAGGGGGCATGGTCTGCTCTCAGGAATTACTGTAATAGCAAAGACTGGAAGCTTGCATTTCAGATACTGGATGAAATGATTCTACCTCTGTGGAAAATGACTAGAAGATGCTCTCAGGAGATGGCTTCCTTCCCCTTCCTCCTAGTAGTGGAAGCGAAACTGTGATGTTTTCCAGAGTTTGGTATCCTGGCCAGCCTCTTTGGCTACCTTTCAAGCCCAGGTTTTTTAAGCTCAAAGAGGAGGAAGAGGTATCGGGGGGAGCAGGGACCCCTGTGGGCAGCCCTCTGGAGTGCAGGTAAAAAGGGGTCCAGTGGACTTGGGTTTTCAGAGTGGCTAGCGTGGACTGTCATGAGTTGGGCCAGATTTGTAGTTTTTGTGCCCTTCCCAGCCCTGCTTGCCTACCTCCCCTTTCTGGTTTGGCTTTGTTTGTTTTGAAGACAAATAAGTGGCATTCACTTGGGGGCCAAGAAGAATATTGCAGTGGTACTCAAGGCAAGTGGGGACATTGGGCACCAAAGAAATGATCTGGGAAAAGCATGGTTCCCATGGCTGCTGTTTAACATGTGCATAGACCATCATGGCCCCTGCCTGGGCTCCACACAGCTTGGTGAGGGCAGGCCTTGGGAAGAATTTCCAAATCCCAGTTTGGAATCTGCTGGGGAGGTAGGTAGGCCCCTTCTTAGCTGCTTTTAGACACACACCTGAATCTAGTCCCATCTAGAGAGCAGACACTGCACGGGTGCGAGTACTAGTGGGGAACACTGGGAGGCGGGGACCTCAGTCTTCCATCTTACGGACGTGTGGTGGCAGTTCACCCCACAAGGTTTTTTTTAATGTGATTTTTTTTTTGTAGGCATCAGGGAGTAGACATAGTACTTTGAGTTTTCCATTTTAGATCAATTTTATACAGCTTGTGATTCATTTCCTTACCCAAATCTGTAAACGCATATGGTCTTAGGCTTTCCCCTCAGTTTTTCTTCAGCACATCTCATGTGAAAAGGAAGGTTTGGGCATGTTGGGGAGACACAGGGAGAAGTATGAGCAAGAGAGGAAGGGCAGTGGGGTAAAGTGGGGATCGAGGGACCTGAGTGCATGTCCTGCTTGCAAAGGCAGGGCTCTGACTACCTTCATTCCATGGAGTCCAGTCTCTCTCCTTGGCTTTTGTGATTCTTTTTATTTCTATGTATGGGCTTTGTGTCATGCTGCAGGCGTGGGATTGCCCTGGCCTGCCTGGGATGAGCCATATCAGGGAGATGGGTGAGGGGGTCTGTGGGAGACTTGGCTCTCTGTATACAGGCCTCCACGTATGTCCCCCAGGGTCTAGGAAGATGCTAGGCAGAGAAAGACGGATAGGTGGGGAGTCTGAGGATTTTTCAGTGTGAAGGGAAAATAAATCATGGCTTGAGGCTAGTCTAGGTGTCATGCTGAAGGAACACCACAAAGGTCAGCTGAGTCTGAGTGCTGGTCTATGGGGGCTGCTCCAGGGTCAAGAATTCTGTATTTAAAATAATATGGGGGTCCCCAGTTTCACTGGTACAGATTTCCAGAGAAAGCCATGGATGCTATAGTTTCAAAGTTATGGTGAGGGGAAGGAATTTCTGCCAGGGCAACAGGCAGGAAAGGCTGTCGGGCCACAGATTGCTAGAAGAACAGACTCCCTGAAGAAATGCTGTTTGGTCCCTGTGAACCTGGACCACTGACAGGCCTCTGGAAGAGAGACCTCTAAATGAGGGACGGACTTCCATGTAGCACACACCTCAATCTAACTCCAACCTTACTTTCCTCGGGGTCATACACTGTAGCTCAAGCTGGCCTGGAACTCACTAGCCCAAGCTGTCCTCAAACTCAAGACAATCTTGTCTCAACCTGAGCCATCACACCCAGCTCGTTTTTAAAATGATGTTCCAGGCTTGAAAGCTCTTTGATGTAGTTCCAACTCCACATCACCTGTGAGCAGGTTCCAGAGCTTTCCTTGTTTGGGAGATAACCTGCCCTCCGTATCTGCTGCCTCTCTGGCTCATTTTCAGGTTGTGAGTTCTGCCCAGACTTCCTCATGTGGTAGACATGGTGCTCAGATTTGAATTTCAGATAAGTGTTTCTTAACTTTCACTATCACTATGTTCCATGCCATACTTGATGTTTAAAATAGCAAGCCTTTAAAAATTCTGATCCTCACATGTTCTAACATTAAGTTACAGGTGTGGCCCAGGCCTTGGAATGTTTTAAGAATGCCCTGGGTGATCCTAGTTTAGTTGGATAGCCTGTGGGGGGAGGGAGGAGTTTGCCAAACCTGGCAACCCCACCATGGAGGGATCAGCAGTAATTTGCCAAGGGAGGTAAGAGTGGGTTGGGGGCCATGTACAGGATGAAATTTTTACATGGCACTGAGCTGTCCTTGCATCCCATTGGAAGCCAAACACTATCAGCTAATGTTTGCTTGTTTTTAGCTTTGGCCAGGTTTTATTTAAACTGGTGGCTTTCATTAAACTCTTCAGAGAATTTTTTTTTTTTTAATTTCTGACATAAGTAAAAGTGCAAGCAGAGCTCAAGATCCAACCAAAACAGCAGGGCCTGAGATTGGTTTACCCTTTTGGCTGAGCACTGGTGGCGTCTTGGGAGGTTTTTGAACATTCTGATGACAGAGGGCTGGGGATGTAGTCCAGTGGTAGAGAGCCTAGCATGTGCCAGGCTCTTAGGTTCTGTCCCTGGCACTATGAAAAAAAACGGATGACAGGACTAACCTTGAGTTTGTTTCTTAATTGGTAGGGCAGGGTTAATGTGGCACCTGCATGTTTAAAGGTCTTGTTCCAGGTGCTAGCTCATGCACAGCGGAAGGTCAAGACCTCTTGTCCTAGAAGACTGTTGGCTGAGGTAGAGAAAACGCATGAAGTGGTTGCTGAGGTTGAGCAGGGCTAAAGAAGCATGCCCTGGGCTGAGATGATGACTTCAGGTGATGATGTCACTGAACAGTCCTCACCCCAGAGTGGGAGGCCAGCTGCTCTCACCAGTTAGAGGTCTGCATCCCTGAATGGATCTCTGCCTGGTGCCCCTAGAGTCACAGACATATGCCAGGTTACACTGGGCACAGGTCCATTGCAAAGTGGGGACAAGTAAATGGGAACTGTCTCTTGAAAGCACCCTCAGAGGCGGCAGCCACCTGGCTTCGTGGTTTTTGCCCATTTTCTGACTGGACTAGTCAAAAAATCCCGTTGCCTTTCCATTAAGTGCCAAATCAGCACCCAGCTGTGTGGAGACCCAACGTGCTGGTCGGACGGCTTGTCCAAATTGTGGCCCATCCTGGTTCTGATGGTTCAGGGGGTGCTAGTGCGCATAGAGGCTCTTTATTTCAAAGCCTGCAGTGAGGCCTGAGGGGAATCAAGAGAAATTCACTCTTCTAGATATGTTAATGGGAAAGTTTGGATCACTGTGGTCACCGTGCCAAGGGAGTGGTTTCGACAGCCTGGCAGATTCCCTAATGTGTCGTGTCTGTAGAGGTCCAGGTCCAGGTGAGAAGCCCATTGCTGCCTTCTGCCCAATCTTTGCTCCCAGATCTCCCATTGGGGTTCGAGGACTCCCCTCTAGGATGGCTCTTCAGGCTGATATGACTGAGGTGTGCTCCCATAGGAGCCTCAAGTTAGAGTGCTCAAATCCTTACAGGAGCTGGATTTCCACTTGGCCTTGATGTTCCCACCCTGAAGGCTCTGCTTCCTCTTTCCATTGTGACTGTAATGTTAGGGTTTTCTGCCCCAGAGGCATCAGCTGGGGATGGCACCCCAGGCCACCTCCCCTGCAGGTCTGGTGGCCCTGTCCCCTGCTGGGTCCATCTGCTTTGCTGTGCTGCACAGGCTGTTTTTGTCTGCATGGTTTTGGGGTCTTTGTCCTTGTGCCTTTACTTCCCTATCAGCCCCACACAGGATTCTCTGCCCCCTTTTCTACACCCCTTCTTCCCTGTTCCATGTGTACTCAGTGTGTAGCCACGTGTACCCATGATCAGGCCCTGCTTCCCCATGGCTCCCCCAGCCTATTAGACTTGGTAACTGTACAGGATCTTCTGTCATAGTCTTAAGCATGGGGGCCACTTAGCCCCCCATCTACCTGCAGCTAGTTTAGAAGCCTTGTATCCCGCACAAGGGTAGCTTTGTGCAGAGCAACTTCTCCCACAAACCTCTTCTGTGTAATGTGGATATTTATAGAAGACAGCATATCTTTAACCTAGGGTACTGGCCCTGCCCTAGCAGGGAGGTCCCAGGTCTGCACAGCCATGTGTATGCCTCTTCCACTGGAGGAAGCCCTGGCCGTGTGGTTCCCTGCGCTTGGCATCATGCCTGGGTTTAGGGCCATTATATCTGGTATCTTGAATGCAGCAGACCCTCCATGTGGGCTGAAAGAAGTCACTTTGCTACTGTCCCTGCCTGCACCACCTGCTCAGTCCTTTCTTGTCTGCTGAAGGTGCTCAGACCAGAGTGCCATTAAACACCAGACTGATGTGATGTTGGGACCTGGATGGGACAGTGTGTGCTGAGGACTCTCAGCATGTTGGCTCCCACCTTCAGCTCTGCCTGCACTGGGGCTGGGCCCTGGCCTCCTGTGGCCCAGTGGAAGAAACTGCAGGTGTGAGCTCAGGCCCAAGGGTTTGTCAGGTTGGTTCTGACTCCAGGGATTCCATCGGGAGCTTTGCCCCAGAAGCCGGTAATTGCAGATGGCATTCCCTTTAGAGTTGAGATGAGACTTCCACTTTCAGGCCCCAGAGAGGGAAGAGTGGGGTGAGTCCCAGGTCCTGAGCTGTTTGCCTCCAGCCTGATCTCTCCAAAAAGAAACAGGCTCTCGGCAGTGGGCGCCTTCCAAGGAACTGTAATGTACAGACTACGGTGTAAATAAACAGTTGGCTTTTTGTGCCTGACTTGTGTGAACGTCTGTGGCTTCGGAGGATGCGTGGGGTGGGAAGGAAATGGAGGGAGGGAGGAAGGCAGGCTTAGGTCCTCATCCTGGGCACATGGTGACATTTTCCTTAAGAAGAGCAGACTCCGCACTACAATAACTGAGGTGGCTAGTGCTGCCACCTAGGGGAAGGGCAAAGCAGGCTCACGTCCAATCCTAGCCTGTTTTCTCTTAGAGAAGTGGATCTCTGAAGCCCCTGTGCCGCCCCCATTCTGGCCTCAGAGCTGTGACTGAAAACTTTGTTCTGAAACCATGTTTTTTCTAGGCCTGATGAGGCTCCTGGATCATGTTTCTCCCATGTCATCCACTGTGGCCCTCTGAGTCACAGGCGCACCATTTCCACTTCAGCTGGATTCACCTGCCTAAACTATGTCCTGAATTACCATGGCAGCCCCGGGTTGTGTGGCCCAAACCCCCAGATTTCTGCCATTTCCTGCCTATTTTATTCGGAGCCTCCAGCATGAAAGGTAATTACAGGTGACCCAAGCCAGGTGTTGGCTCATCTCCAAAAGGCCCGGTGTTATGGGTTCTCTGGGGTTGGCAACAGCTTCCCACTGGACAGGTGTATCTGCCTCCTGGGCTCACAGGCCCAGTTTGCATCTCTAGTGCTGTGATAAAATACTGACCAAAACCAACTTTAGGAGGAAAGGGTTTATAGTGTCTTACATTTCCAAGTGGTAGTCCTTCACTGAGGGAAGTCAGGGCAGGAAACTGGAAGCAGGAACCGAAGTGGAGACCACAGAGGAACGCTACTAACTGGCTTGTTTCCTCTGGCTCGCTCCACTACTCCTGTGATACAACCCAGGCCAGGCTACTCAGAGATGACCCCACCCTCAGTGGGCTGGGACCTCCTACATCAATTAGCAATCAAGAAAGTGCCCCCACAGACATGTTCACAGGCCAATCTGATGGAGGAAATTTCTCATTTGAGGTTCCTTCTTCCCAGGTGTCAGGTTTGTATCAAATTAACAATCATCAAATGCAGAGTTGGAGGCTCTGCACCTCTTCTCTCCCTCCTCACTGTATTCTTTCCTTATCATTTAGGGCCTCCAGATTGACAATACTGAATAACCCAGTAAAGTGAATTTGAATTTAAATTTGAACTCAGATAATCCAGTGAGCCTTTTTTAACTTGATTACACATCTGCAAGGATGCAAATAAGGTTCAACATTAAACATTAGGACTTAAACAATCTGTTTTGGGAAATGCAATTCACAACCCCGGATGAAGGAAGGAGTTGCATCACCTCCATATGGTGCTGGCAAAAACAACAGCAGCAGCGACAACAAAAACCAATAAAAAACATTTCACTATCAGATCCCATCAATTCACTGGGCTATGGATTACAGGGCTTTTTGCATCTGCCTTATCCAGGCTCAAGCCTCTTGAGTTGTTAAAAAAAATATATCTCCACGTATGTAAATCAACCAGATCTGTGCACATGTGCTTACCAAGCACAGGATTTGGTACAGACAAAACTTCAAGCTCCTGGAAGTCCCGGGTTCTGGGGGAAGGGGAAAGACAACTGACTGCCAGAGTGATAGTGGCACCAAAGTCTAGGGGATTTGATTTGGGAGCAGGGGGAACAGCCAGGTCAAAGGTTAGGGATGGCTTTCTAGAGGAAGGGACTACTTACTCAGCAGAGTCCCAAAGGACTGTAGTCTTGGAGCAGATAAAGTACAACCCCTTAGGGTTCGTGGGTGGGAAGACAGAAAGGTAGATGTGGGGAAGGCTGAGCTGGCCTCGTGGTAGAGAACCTGGTGAGCCAAAGCAGATTCCTCTCCATCCACTGAGCAGACCCATCAGTGCTAACAAATGCCCAGCGAGGGGAGGTGCTGAGCTCATGAACAGTAAACCAGGCTTGCTCTCCACCCTCACCCACGGGGAGTATCCACAATGTGCAAGAGAGCCACTTAAGCCCAGACTGCACATCAGAATCACTCAGGATGAGTGGGTATGAGGTGGGCACTGGGATGTTTCTAAGGCCCCTGGGTGACTCCAGTGTGTAGTCTGAGGTGAGCAATGCTGATGTATAAGATGGGCACCTGGACTTACGAGGAGTCACAGGGGCGTCTCCTGAGACCTAGAAGAAAAGGTGGCGGCTGGCCAGGTAAGAGAGGTCAGAGAGGAGTGAGAGGGAACAGCCTGCACAGCGGCCTGGAGGTGGAAGGAGTTAGTAGACAGCAGCAGGATTTTAAGCCAGGAGTGGTCAGGTGGCGGCTGGCCAGGTAAGAGAGGTCAGAGAGGACTGAGAGGGAACAGCCTGCACAGTGGCCTGGAGGTGGAAGGAGTTAGTAGACAGCAGCAGGGTTTTAAGCCAGGAGTGGTCTGGTGGGACCTTGGGTAACCAGAACAGGAAGGTGGCTTGTGATGAATGATGAAGGCAGCCAGACTTGAGTCTTGTCTTAGTGACTTGGAACACCCTTTCAAGAATACCTCAGACTAGAAGGCTGGAATGATAGAGACATGTTTTATAGTTATGGAGGTTAGAGGTTTAAAGTTAAGGTTCTGGGGCTGGAGAGATGGCTCAGCGGTTAAGAACACTGGTTGTTCTTGCAGAAGACCTGGGTTCAAATCCCAGCCCCCACATGGCAGCTAACAACTGTCCATAATTCCAGTCCCAGGGGCTCCAACAGCCTCTTCTGACCTCCGCAGGTATTGCACGGCATGGGTGCACTTACCTACATGCAGGCAATACATGCATACACATAAAAATAGTAAATTTTTTTTGAAGTTAAAAAAAATAAAAAGTTAAAATTAAGGTTCCATCGGGGTTGGCTTCTGGCAAGGCCACTCCTCTGCTCACAGGGGACCACCTTCCCACTGTGTCCTTGCATGGCCTCTTCTCTGTGACTACAGAGACACAGCCATCCAGTGTTTCTCTTCTTCAAGGTCAAGTATTATTGGAGCAGGGCCCACCCTGTCACCTCAATTACCCCCCAAAAGTTTTATCTTCAAATATAGTCATGATGGGGGTGGGGTGCAGGGCTTCCATTTGTGTCTCAGAGAGGGCGGAGCACAATCAGGTCTATAAAGGTAGGATTATCTGCTCCTTTCTGGAAGTAGTAGGTCATTTGCCAAAGCATATGTGAAGGCCTAAATCGGTTCACTACCAATACACAGAATTTTTGGTTTTGCTTTTTTTTTTTTGAGACAGGGTCTCCCTGTAGCCCCAGCTGGCCTAGAACTCACCATGCCACCATGTAGACCAGGGCTGGTCTTGATCTCACAAAGGATCTGCCTGCCTCTGCCTCTTGACTACTGGGATCAAAGGTGCGTGCCACCATGCCTGGCTGCACCCAGGGTTTTTGTTTTGTTTTGTTTTGTTTTGTCTTGTGTGAGGATAAAGAGTTAGAATCACATAGTTTGTTTATCTCTGACAAGCCATTTATCCATAAAATGGTTGGAAACTCCCACAGGTGGAAAAGGACTTTCTAGCACACAGACCTTCCCTTTCTACACCAGGCCACAGGGCTCACTGTCTTGGGGAGCAGCAAGTAAGTAACAGCACTACCAACCGTGAAATGAAAGGACGGGGCAAGCAGCTGGACCTGTGAGGGGCAGGCAGGGCCTCCCATGTGGTTAGTCTCATAGTGGCAGCAGTAGTGGGAAGCGGTCTGATGCTGACACTTGTACCCTGAGTTCTTCCCTTATGGAACTCCACGGAGGTGAAACCAAGATCCTGAAACCCAGAGTGCAGTGGCACCTAACTCTGAATCCACTTATGACGGTCTGTAGGATGGCATTGTGCCCTGGGGAAATCTGCAGATGTCTATGCCCTGCCTTCAGCCCACCTGGCTCCCTCCGGGGACAACATGGCTTCTCCAGGGAAGTCACCACTCAGTCCTGGGTTTAGGATTGGCTTTCTCAGCTTGTGTATTATGGCAGATCACCCCAGACTTTGGGAGGTTCTGGCCAGAGCCTGGGCCAGTACCTCAGTCCTCTGTTTTGCAGTTAGGTGCTGTCAGTGTTATAAGTGTGTACTTGAAGCTGGCCACCTGGCAAGGGGTCTTGGGAGGGTGCCTGCACCAACCTGTCCCATTAGTGAATTCTCCTTCTGCCAGTCAGCCTTTTGAGGTGAGGGTGAAGACAGAGGACACCTACTTCATCTCATTTTCTTTTGAATATTCAGGGATGTGTGTTTGTGCTCAAAATTCCAAAGCTTATGAATGACAGGTATGACAGAGACATACCAAAGACAGTCTATTCCTTCCCTATGTGCAGCCTGTTCCCTAATGGGAGATAGGGCTTATTTCCTTCCCCTTGAGTCTGGATGGCCAGTGGCTGCTCTGATGAGTAGGTGCTGCATTCTGGGACTTCTGAGTGGTGGCCTGCTCAGGATTAGCAGCTCTGCCTGTGCCTCCTGAGGACCTAGCTTCCCTGATATAGAAGTCTCAAGCAGCCACCTGGAGAAGAGCATCTCCACCCCCAACATGCCCAGCTAAACTCCTAGCTAGACTCCTACATGGTTGAAGCCATGGCAGATGTCTGAGCAGTCCCAGCATCCTACAGGACCCCAAAGGAGAGCTACCTGGTTAGTCCACAGAGTCAGGAAAAAGCCATTTTCAGCTTGAAACATTGGGCTGTCAGTGACACCACAAGGTCCCTGAGATGACAAGTTTTCCATGATGTTCTCTTTCCCTCAATGGATACACCTTTCCCAAAAGGAATCCACCTAAGTAGGACTCAGCTGGTGCCATGATTGGTCCATTGGTTCCTTGATGTCAGCCAAGGAGATATGTTACTGTCTAAGAGCCTCATGGGCAATCTTAACTGTCTACCACAGCAGGGTTGTGCTCAGGGAAAGACCACCATAGACTGGAGCAACTGTGGGGTGATGTTTACTGAAGATTCTGCCTTCTCTGGGATTGATTTATTTCTTGATTAACTTGTGAGCCCTCTCTGCCCTTTTATGCATTTTGATGAGTGAATACCAATCAGGTGCGGTGGTACATACCCAT